GCAAACACTTCCTATTTTTGAATACGAACATGTTTTGTTATCCTTACTCCGAGGTATTTTTTAGCCACTTCAGTACATTCTTCGTAATCAATACTAATTTCGCTTCTTGTAATTTCTCATTGCGTCAATCACAATAAGACAACTTCTATCTGGGTAGCCTTCCTTGCTTATTGTATCATTTATAATACTTCCGTAGACCTCGATGAGCACGATTACATAGCTTTTAGACGCTATTGTTACAAGCGAGCAAAAAACTACTCAGCATACAAGAAGATGTGTTGCACTGCAGAGACTCCAGTTTTTTAATTCTGTAATTCAACATACTAACCAGTTCTTCGGGCTCTCTGGATCCCTTTTATATATAGAAAAAGAGCGGGGTGTGTTTTGATTTTGGTACCGAGACGATTGAATTTTGGACTATTTGATCTATCACATTTTTCTGTTGTCTGTTTTGTTTTTATTCCCATCTGTTTGGGACGATCAGCCCTTGGCCACGCGAAATGGATAACTAATTTTCCATATGTAATGTACTAGTGACTTACTGTAAGCAAAATTTGCCATGTATTTGACTGGGTACCCGCGTGGGAATGTACCGAGTAGAAATTCTAGAATTCACATCGCCTAGGTCTAGACAGGGTATTACATCCTGTCATTCTTCCAAACGGTCGTAGAAGACGTGGGGTTTGGTGGGGGTGAACTGCGGGATGCAGCTGTCGTTCAATCATGGTCGGAAAAAGGATAAGAATCCATGAAGAGGTCATCTCATATGAGAACTAGGAGATATTGTATGTTGAATAAATACCCGATTAGGCAAGGCACTATCAATCACCTCATGTCGCAATATCTTCAATGATCCTGATATACTTTCATACTTACTAGGGATGTTGATGTGGACGGATATCGGTACTCAATTCTATTAGAATACGATGTGGATAGATGTGATTAGAAACCCGGGTAAGCAAAGAGATTCGTAACGGCGTCGGAGGTAAGCATTGTTTTCCAGATAGCAGCAATACGTGCCCAATACCCAAGACATATAATACCGGCTCTCACCGGAGCCACTCATAAAGAAGCGCCTCGTTCACGTGCGGAGTATATTATATTACAAACTTCCTTTTCTCCTATTACAACCGTATTCATTCCGTCCGAGACGAGACAAGATAAGACATGGAAAGTTAGCAAACGGCTGCAACTGCAATGGCAAATACCGATGAGAATCAATATACAAGAAAAGAGCCGATGAACCGGATGCGAGCAGTCGAAGCAGTAAAAGACAAGGGTTAAAGAGAGTTTGGATGGATGGTTGGTGGCTTGCGGGAAATAATCCTGCTTGTAGCACCTTACGGGGATTCGGAAGTATGGATTTGTAGATGAGCGAGATTGGAGAGAATTCGAGAGCTGATAGATATTGACGTACACAAGCCATGTCGTGCCAGGTTAACATTTCTATGGTGTTTCGAGTGATTGATTCTTAACGGGCTAGAAAGATTGAACGGAGATGCAGATACCTGAGGTCCTGAGCAGACGGGATCGAAAGAGGAGAGGAGTAATCTCGGCAGATGGTAAAGGGGTATTTTGGCTTTTGGTCAAGACTTCACTAGCAATTCATCAGCCGGTGTTGCATCTGTAAAGTCTTGATTTCCACTTAGATGTCAACTAATGAAAGGTGTTAGGTTATAGTGAGAAAGACATAAGCGGAAAACTCATCGTATCACATTGGATATATTGTGATCACAGCATACGCTGGTTTTGAGTACAGCATGGAGATCTTCCCCATAGACCTCGGACATCCTTCTACCGAATTAGTTCAGTATGCCCATATCCCTTGATTGCCATTGCCATTGCAGTGACAGACTCGAGAACAAAATACAAAGAAGAATGGATAATTACAGCCGATCCCGTCCTTCCACAACATATGTACGCACTATCATTATCTTTACCTGCCCGTCAAGCCCGTTTTAACGGTTTTTCTTTCGAAACCTGGTTTATCAATTGGGAGAAAAATACAATGATATCCAATATATAGCTGCAGTCAGGGTGCTATAACATGTTTACCGGATTCTGATTTATTGCAGTATACATACATATAGTCGTCCAGCATGAAAGATGGTCAAATTTTACAAATCTATTCCCATTAACCTGGCCATATCTGATCATATGGTTCCTGCATATCGTATGTAGCTGTAGATTCATGTCTACTACGTGTACGACAGCCCAAGAAAGGCATTGAGGCAGTGGTTGTAAATTAATAGCAAGATCAATAATTTTTTCGCGACTTTTATTTATTTTAGCTTTCAACGGATTACCCTCAACACACCTGAGTAGTGCAATTCCAACAGAGGAGCTCGTTAGACATTTGTTTCTCCGCTCACTCCGAAGCCAGCCATATTCTATGAAGTTGTATGGATGATATGCTAGAGTCCTTCAACGATTATTCATTACTCATCATCATCAGCGTCATTTGCTACGAAGTTCTTACTCGGCGCGCGCGACTTCATCCATTTACTACTCGCTATAGATATACGATAGAAGGTGTATCATTCGTGTAACCCCCACCTGCCTTATTCATCCTTTCGACCACTGAAGATGATCTTCTCGATAGTCTGACTTCCATATCATCAATCAATTAATAACAAATTCAAAGCCATGTATCTCAAAAGAAGTCACAAGCTCACCATTTTCCTTATCCATCATTGAATGATAAGTAAAGCTGCCCAAATTCTCACCCCATCTCTAGTTCCATCCGAGTCCGACCTCTCATCTTAGCAATACCGGTTTGTTTACAAGCAAATGAATAATCAATCTAATCTCACTCGTCTTCACTCACATATTTTCTTACCAATGAAACAAGGGCATACCCCTCACCCACATATCCCCTTTGAATACTACCCCGAATATGCAGCGCTCATCATCTATTCCCTTCTCAGCTGCGCATACATTCGCTACCAAACTTGCTTGGACCACCTGTTCAACGTCTTCCATGTTCTCATTCCCATTCCCAGGTACCCACGGTATCCAATTCCCTTTTGCTATTTTTGCTGTATCGGATTGTTATGGTGCAGATTGTTTGGTTATTTTCAATCCATCACATAGATCGTATGATCACGAAACCAAATTCTGCGTAGCTAAAGATATTCGTGAGTATATGTGTATGCATGCTGGTAAGGCTTGGTGTGGATATCAATAGCGATATACATACCTACATCAAGTAATACCCCTTCATTTTCGTTTACCATAATTAATCAACAACATTGCAAAGCCCACTGCTCGGCACGGTACCGTAGCTCACGTGCCTCAAAGCACTCCAATGTAAGCACCCCAACGCAACCATCTATTCTCCCTCCTCCGACATCAAATCCATCCAATGCCCATACAAACACCCAATACAACACCGTTATAACATTTGAAATAATATCCGTGCCGCATCATACCATCCACCATCCATCACCACTCATATCTCTCCACCCCACCCGTATCTCATCTGACAAGCATAGGTATACAGGATATCATGTGCGCGCGTCCAATTCAACCCCAGCGTCCCATTCATCCATCCCAAACCCATCTTGGGAAATGTAAGAAGACCCCTTGGCTCACCCTTAACCCTACCAATGTCATGTCCGACCGTTGTGATATGATGTGATGTGACGTCCTGCACATCACTCACACAGACCGGTCTACCTTACCTAAATTAGAACTTCTGGAAGACCAAAAGATTAGATTAAATTTTTTCTGCCCCCAAAAAAAAATCAAAAATTTAATCACTGCTGTTAAATCTCCTTTGGGAAATTATCCAACGTTTTCAAAGTGGTGAGAATTGTTGTTTGGGAAAATGATATGTCACCCAAGCTATTTTCTTCTCCCTTTGAGGAGAAAGAAGTGGACGAGAAGATTCATCATACGTAAATCGCAAACTCAGGTCTCCAACATCGCGTGCCAACCATCTCGAAGGATTCACTTCTCCAAAGCTTCTAGAACACGTCTCCATCCCATCTGCCCCCATCTCGGCATCCCACTCTTTCCTACCTGTTCTTCAAAGGATTTTATATTCCGAGATAATTCAATTCGAGTGATCTTTTGTGACGTAGAACCTAAATACTCAATTTCATATCACTTCTTTCTCATAGGTAGGTAGGTATTCTCTCGCCAATTAGCGAGCTCGGAACTTGTAGTCGCTTGATGGGAAAGGAAGTCGCATAATATACAACTAATACACTAAATTCTTTTATACACTTAATTTACTCTCAATCTACCAATCCAATCGTCAAAATTTAAGATTCCCATAAACACTGATCCCGCTTCGACAATCCAAGAATCAAGCAATTTCTCCTCTCCCCTCGATAGATATCGAAAAAATGCAAGATTTTCCTCCCATGCCATGCCATGCGATGCTTCAACACAATGCAATACACTAAATACTCCATCCATATTTCTCCCACGATCCATCGCGTGCCCGTCCATTCACGCACTCCCAATATATAGCAAATACTCATCAAGCAAACCCATCTCCATCTATCTATCTTCATTCCTCACTCCTCACATATGAACTATCCATCGAACCCCCATCCCGCGCCCCCATATTCAATATTCCACATGCCAATTCCGCATGCACCATCCAATCTCAACACTCCCCTCTCCCGACCCCTATTCCCTATCCACCCTCCCAACCTCCGGCACGGATAATATTTCAACTCCCAGCATCACATACATGATACATGATACATAAAACCTAGCACCTACATGTGTCAAAATCTTTCCTTTCCTTCCTTCCCGCCTGCCTGATTGCCTTCCCGTTTATTTTGGTACGAAAAAAAAAAATCTCCGATGCAAGAGGACCCGGACCTAGACATAGGGGTCATTTTCTCAATAGCTATTGTGACCTCGTTTCTTTCGTAGATGTACATGCAAATATGCATATATACATGCATACAAGATAGAAATACATTGTCCCATTCCACATTCTACTTCCCTATGAAAGAAACATTTCCTTAACAAAACAATAAAAACTTCAATCCGTACCCAAATCAAGCATCTTACATAAAACGTACATCTCACTACCATCTCCAACCTCCCATACAAGCACATGCGCACATAAAGAAAAACATTGAAAAAGCAATGTATCACCAAAGCAGACCCTTGAAACACAAAAAGCATCATCCATACCTCTCCATAAACCTGACATCGTCATCCACATGCCGTGTAATCCATTACCGTCGCACAACAGCTCACCCCCTACTCACCACCACCATTAATTTCAGGGGTCCTTCTCCCTCTCCCTTCTCCGCATCCCAAATATCAACATAAACATATAGGTACATAAACGGCACGATGGACTGATTTCAAATACTCGTAACGATAAGCGTAGATTTTCATTTCCATGGTATCATTAAAGAAAGAGAAATACAATACCCCTACGCAGCTACGCGATTACGCATCAAGCAAGCGGGCATCCATCCCTAACCTATACTTCGTAAACATGTGTATATCCCTACGCACATGACATCCTTTCCCCTCAAACAAATGTGTTGCGCTCGTACAATAAAGTACAATATAGTACAATCAACGCCAGCCACGACCACATACGCATATCGAACACGGCATGTGAGCATAATCATCGTCTCATTTCGCCTCACATTCATTTGCATTCGCCTCGCCCTCGTCTACGACGACGAATAAAACCCCTTATATGCACCAAGACAGAAGATGCTACCTCAAACCACAAGGGAAAAAAATACCAAGCACGACCGCAACACCGTTTGATCGGTGCCAAATAAACCTTTCCTTTCCTATCCTTTCCCTTCCGTTTCGCCATCTACCCGATGCTCTCAATGCCTATTCTATCCTGGGTCCATTAAATATTTGATTTTCATATGCTTAGTGTTTGGATATGTTTTGTCGTGCCTATAAACGAATTATGATTAGTACCTTGAAAATGGCATGTAAAAGCATGTACAAAAATCTTACCTTCATAAGCTCTATTTTTGCCTTCAAAGCACTTGTGACCTCGGCAGCCCTCTTCCAGCTTTCTACACCTGTTCCATTGCCACTAGGAATACTACCAGTTCTAGACATGCGATCGCTTGTGTAAGATAGTGGTGCTGGGCTAGCCCTGCCACTACCACTAGCAGCACTTGATCTTCCATTACTTGTAGGTTCCAAATCAGGACTTAACATGTTTCGACCATAAAGACCAGCCCCGTTTGAATTATCTTCTCCAATTGAAGATGTGATAGACATACGAGGGCGACTTCTATAGTCTGGGCGTCCATTGTCTGAAGGAGCGCCATACATAGATTCGCGGTGGTTGCTAACTTCATCATGTGCTCCGTCACGTCCGGGGCTCGATAATCCTCTCGATGGGCTGTGGTTACTGGCTCTTTCGGCGGCTGATAAAGCATGCTTTAACCTATTTTGCTCCCTCCTTAATTGTGCACACATTGCTTCCGCCGTTTCGGCATCTGCTCTCGAACGAACAAGTTGGGTTTCCTTTGCTTTGATTGACAGAACGTCTCGTGTATGATCCTCTATTAGCTGTGCATTTTGATTCTTTAATTCTTGAATCTCTGAATATAGTCTCGAGCGTTCTTGGCGCATTTCGTCAGCTTGGCGTAATAATCGATCTTTGTCCAATCGCAGTTCTTCCAGCTCAGCTTTCTCCAAAGCAGTCAGACCGGCATTCGGTGGAGGTGACATTGAGGACATGGGAGGAGCTGCATTAGCGGATGGTGTTTTTGCCAATGATCGACCAGCTGGTCCACGACCTAAACCTACACGAGGTGGAGGTGGAGCTTCTTCTTCAATCGGAACTGGCGATGGGGCGTTACGTTTAGGTGAAGCAAGTGCTGGTGGTACCACTTTTTTCCCTGGTGGTTTCAGTCCAAGACCACCTGGCTTCTTTAATCCAGCGGCACTTCTTGCTGTAGGCTGGGCCTCTAATGGAGCTTGTTGGGCATAAGCACTTGGTGGCGGAGGCGGTTTCTTTGCGACTGTCTTCTTTACCATTTTCTTAGGGCCTGCTGCTGGGGCAGCTTTAGGAGCTGCAGGGGCGGGAGGAGGCTTAGGCTTATCCTTTGCCTTGACTTCTGCAATGTCAAAGAATTCCTTGATTTTAGTTTTCCGAATTTCATCCAGTCCTTCAAGGTGTGGTCCCATTGCACGCTCGCCCATAATCTTCATTATCGTACCCAATACTTCAGCTCCACTAGATCTCAGCACTTCACTCGATTCCGCGAGCAACTTCTTTGCAGCTTCTGAAATCTGAGTTACTTCAGCTTTGGAGGGAGCTTCTCGAGTTGTCCTGAGCGATCTAATTAAAAACTTAACGGTTCCTTCTTTAACTTGAGGATTCTTGTGTTTCAAGAACTCAATAGTTTCCTCTAAACACTCTGTCAAACTCGTTGCTGCAAATACCTGATCAAGTGCTGCACCTAAAGCATCTGAAACAGATGCCTTCTTCTCTTTTAATCTCTCCATAATGGGGCTTTGAATGACGGATCTATATTTGGCGAACCCCTTTCGTAAACCTTGAGCTAAAACTTCAACGCACTGTGCAGCTTGAGTGACAACTGCAATATTAGCGTCTTTCATGCATTTTGCCAGACCGTGAACTATCAAGCCAAAATCGGCGTCTTTAATTCTAGGAACATTGACACAGGTGTATAGAGCCTCCAGCGCTTCCTTTCGCTCTTTCCATTTTGACGAAGCTAACTGATCGTGGAAATTTGCAGGGACCTTGGATAATACATCTTGTGGTTCAGCTAAGTCAAATGCATCAATCTCGACACCTTCAGCCTCTAACTCATCCTCCTCTTCTACACCACCTTCACCTGGGGGAGGTGCCCTAGACATTGCTGCTTGTTGTGATCTGAGAAATCGTTCTTGTTTTGGCGCTGGCTCCCCCTTGATCTTTTCAAATTGAGCTTCCATATCGGTCTGTTGTGTAGGTTTGAGGTCTCCCCAGAACATTGGCTTCATGGCCTCTCGTAACCATCTATAAAACTCGATAGCCAATTTTGTAGCTTCCGCACGTACATTCTTATCTGCATGACCGAATGGTTTTGGTAAAACTTTAAGAACGGGCTTGGGATCCACTGTCTTGCATCCATATTCATGATATATGGCGGTTATTGCAGTTACTGTTGCTGCGACAATTTTTGGTTGTTTATGCGACAATGCAGGAAGAAGCTCTTCGATGACAGGGGCAGCTACATCCAATTCGACATATAACAATAGGGCTTCGAGCGCAGAGGCTTTGGTAGCAGCTCTTGTTGAACTCAATCCCTTCTCGACCAAGGAAGTTAATGTATGACTTCGTGTCCTGGTACAATGTTCGCGCCCACCAAACTTTAAGAAAGCGCATAATGCCGCGATACCATCTTGTTGTGCCGCAACGTTTGAATCTGCCACCGCTCCCTTCCATAGCCCGGGGTCGTTAAGAAATGGCTTGAACACTGGGTCGTGTTCATCTGGCGTGATTTCGAATTGTTTTGCTGCATCTTCATATGCAGCCTTTCTCACTTTCCATATCTATCACCAAGCATAAGTATTAGTCTACGTTTGCTGCCATTTGAAAGCGATTGATAGCGCAAAGGAGCGAAATAGATGTAATGGAGTTTCAGCAGAGAAATCATACCTTGTGTTGAAATCTATCTGGGAGGGGTAGAGAACTGAAATCTTCTTCTTGCTCTGCCATCTTGGCTCCTGTAACCTTTTTAGGACTCTGTGGTAGCTTTCCAGTCGCTATCCGTTTGGTTAGCTTTAACTTTGATAAAGACATGGGTAATGGAGGGGGATGCATTTCCAGTCCCATGTAGAGAATGGAGAAGTGGATTGACGGTGTCGCAGATTAGGAAGAGCCATCATTATTGCATATGGGAAAGAGCAACGGAAGACACCTACCAAATTGATGTTGTATGCAAATTTGAGAAAGAGTTTATGGTCGTGGGGTAAATTTTTGGGGAGAGGAAAGCACCGGTCGGTATTTAGATAGATAGGATGGATTGTTTTGGTTGAAATGTGAATGATGTTTCTGATATGGATAGAATTATCTCATGTGAAAGTGGAAGGGAAAAAAGTGTTTGGATGTTGACAAAATCTTGTGTATATTCAGATAGTAAACAATACACTTTATTCCTAATAAGTACTGAGTCTGTAATATCAAAATATAGAGTACGGCTTCGGAAGAATTGAATTGAATTGAATTTAATTGAATTGAATTGATGCGTTGTGTTGTGTTGTTGACTTTACCGCAAAATTGAAGAGAGGGTACTCCCGTCACCGTAACCGTAACCGTAACGACCGATATCAATAAATCCCTGCCAAATTGGCGCGTGCACTCTTTTCATAATAAAGTTGGGCGTCCAAAATGTATCAGGGGATGAACCTTTTTGGCCTAACACGTGCCTGATGAGAAGGAGAATCAAATAATAAACGCGTAGTCTAGTCTGTAAGTCTGTCTGGAGTGAAAGTCAACAGAAGAAAGAAATATCAAATCAAATTGTTTCCAAAATACCTAGGTACCTACCTAGGTAGATACTATTAGATACCTCCTCATCGTATAACAACAATAACAAAACATCATGAATCTTCCATGGATTCTAGAATTCATGGCATAATAATTGATTCTTGCATAATGTTGTTTCATATCATCTCATAAATAAAAATCCTCATCAATTGACCAAAAGTATTCATTTGGTCTCAGTAGAACACAAAGAAAGAACTTCTGCCCTACCGCCTATCGTCAAAACAAAAGTTGTGGACACCCCGCGCTTCTGAGCATAAATAAAGTAGGAATAGCCAGCCAGCCAGCAAGCCAGCTATCTATCTATCTACATTGTAGCCATCCATACCCAACCTTAACTCTTTACCGGTACGTGTGAAGGAACGTGTGCAAAGCGTGTGTGCATACTTGCGCTTCGAAAAGTTAAAAGGCATAAAATCACAACAAATTACCCATCCACGAGCAGAAAACCGGCAAGAGAGATCACTATCAGATATCGGAGACAAGAATCGAACCGTTTAATAGTTCGCTTGCCAGGCGCTTCAGCCTTGGAGGAAATTAATATCAAAGTCCCATTCAACTTCATGTATCGCATACAATTGTCGTCATGAGCCAATATCTGACGTCGCGGCAGGCCGAGGAGCTGTGAGTTGAACATATCTTCTTCATCACATCCTCATGATGGCTAATATTACTCTCGCAGGCACAAGTCTATGATAGCATACCTTACCTCGACGAATCTTTTACATAGTGCCGCGACGTTACGTGAGGAACTTGATATCGGTGAAAGCTTCGATTCTGCCACGAGTAAGAAGTATGAAGGTCTGCTGGAGAAGAAATGGACAAGTGTGGTGCGGTTGCAGAAGAAGGTGAGAATCCTCAACATCAAACTCAACAAGAGTTGTATACTGATTATTGGGAAATAGATAATGGACCTCGAAGCGAGAAATGCGGCTTTACAAAGTGAAATCGATAATGCAACACCTACATCTCTGTCAAATCGAAATACCGATCCTACGGCGTGGTTACCAAAATCACCAGCGAGGCATAATCTTCAGTCGCACAGGGAAGCAATTACCTGTGTTGCGTTTCATCCAGTTTTTTCATCGTTGGCATCGGGTTCGGAGGACTGCACAATCAAAATTTGGGATTGGGAGCTTGGAGAATTAGAACTCACTGTCAAAGGCCACACAAGAGCAGTACTGGATGTTGATTTCGGTGGCCCCAGAGGAGGAACCTTACTGGCATCGTGTTCTAGTGATCTTACCATCAAATTATGGGACCCAAGCGATCAGTATAAAAATATTCGCACATTACCTGGACACGATCATTCTGTTTCAGCCGTACGATTTATACCTAGTGGCGCAGCTGGATCACCTTCATCTGGAAACCTTTTGGTATCAGCAAGTCGAGACAAAACTTTACGCATATGGGATGTTTCCACGGGATATTGTGTGAAAACTATTCGAGGACATGCGGACTGGGTTCGTGATGTGGCACCTTCTTTTGACGGTCGATGGCTTCTATCTGCTGGGGTGGATCAAACCGCAAGAATATGGGATGCATCATCAGGAGAACCAAAGGCAACTTTATTAGGTCATGAAAATACGATCGAATGTTGTGTATTTGCACCACCAGCAAGTTACCCTCATCTGGCTGCCATGGCAGGGTTAAAGAAACCACCTGCAGCGAGCAGTTCCGCTGAATACGTCGCTACCGGAGCTCGAGACAAGAGTATTCGAATATGGGATGCTAGAGGTACATTGATCAAGACACTCATTGGTCATGATAATTGGATTAGAGCTCTTGTCTTTCATCCTGGTGGAAAATATTTGTTAAGTGTGGCAGATGATAGGACATTAAGGTGTTGGGATCTTGCGCAAGAAGGAAAATGTGTAAAGACAATAAGTGATTCGCATGGTCATTTCGTCAGTTGTATGAGATGGGCCCCAAGTGTTATTAAGGATGTTCCTATTCTCAATGGAGAAAATGGAGTGGCAATTCCGACCAAGAATGGGAATGGGACAGCGAAAAAAGAGGATGCGAAAGTAAGCATCAGATGTGTTATTGCGACAGGGTGTGTAGACCAAGTTGTCCGAGTGTTTGCATCATGACCACATGTAAAGCATGTGCTATCAATAGGAGAATCGCCAAGAGAGAACTTTGATATCAGAGCAGCAGGAGTTCGTGGAGTTCGCTCATACCAGAAGAATAAATTCCTTGCTCCGACTTGGCTATTGGAGAAATATGTCACGAACTTTATGCTTAGAATGTGTATAGGAGGAGCTGCATTGACTAGCTTCTCTCAATTACAATTCAATTTAATATGAAGAATAATTGACTTCAGAACAGAGAATCTACACTCTCACAACAATCAATGATGTTCTAGAAATATGAGATCGAATTAACAAGTAGAATCCCCAGCTCGTTGGCCCTAATGAAGGGGGGTAATATATCATACATGGTAAGTGATTATGCGAGGTAAGCACATGACATGAATGGGCAATCTGGTGTTCAGTAACTTTGAAGCACTTCTTTTTCCCTTCCCGCATAGTCATGCAATGCAATGCGCAAAAGTACACGATCCAAGCTTTTATTCCAACTTCAGTGACCTACCTTTTTCTAAATTTCATTGTACTGCCTATGCACTTCTTGAATTGCTTCTCATAAGTTCTCACCAATCGGCGCTTTATAATCAATTCTCAATCAGAACTCCGCTGTCAGAAGAGCTGTGAAATCCGTCATCCTGGTGCTTGAGAGTTATGTTCATCTCCAGGCTTCAAGATATTGAGAATGGTATTGTTTCTATGTTCGGTTGAGATTGTATCAATATCAATCGATATAGCGCGAATGAAGCTTGAGAGGATCTGTTTCAAGAGAGAGGATACTTCCGGTCCTATTTTTGAAGAGGAATGGTTCAAAACTATAGGTATCTGTAAGGCTATTATTATCTTTGGGGATAACAAGTGACAACTAACGGCCCAGTGACGAAAATTAACAGATTGACAATAAGCTAGGCGTCAGAATTTCTATGATCAAACATCATTGGGTGTGATAATTGACCGAAATCAACTCGTACCGCCAGGAAGGATGCAAAAAATGGAGACGCAGTGCAAGCACACGAGCCTTTCAAGTAGTCAGGGTACGTGCAGGGAAATTATCATGTCATGCCTGTTCAGTGCGAAGCATTTCCTCGTCTATAATTTATGGGGCATGAAGTAGACATTCTTCACATACTGCGGTACAATCGCCAATATGGCAATCGTCGTGCATGTCAGCGCCAATGAACAATACAAGTTGGGGGCTTGAAAAGGGTTTGTATCGAATATTGCCGCTTGGAGACTATCTCTCCTTTAGTGCGTTTAGACTTGGCATATAGTATGCATTCAAGCAGTCTATGATATCAGGAAATATGCGTTCGGGGGCTTTCTTAGTGGGTTGGATTCGTAAGTCTTTGTTCTTTCAAACCATGGTAGACTAGTTTTTTCTCTCTTTCCTCTGTTGTTTTTTTTAGGATGTCCCTCGCGATTAAACTGCCTGGGATTTGTTTGCTATTTGATGTTGTCTTTTTCTGATCGTTCATAATCGCTGTGTTGGCATGCTTCTATTTCATCACATTCCGATCATTTCTATTCCTTCCATTCCATAAGTAGATTGCAGATAATGATGTCAATCTCTTTACGCCAGCGCTATATGCTACTTAGCGTATTCGTAGCTTCGACTATACTTCTTACTGGTTTCTATCTCCGAAATAGTATAAGACCACTCACATCTTTTGTTCCTCCACCCGAACCAATCGAGACTGGACCAAAGCATCCGAAATATAAACCCTTCAAGTCTCCGAAAAGCTATCCTATAGTTGATAATTTCCCTCTTGCTTTGAACGCACATTCAGCTTCAGAGCTTCCGCCAATTCCAAAATGGAATCAACCTCCTAATCCGCATGTCCCCGAAAAAACCCCTCTACTTATTGGGTTTACAAGGAATTGGCGTCTTCTTCAACAAGTTGTAGTTTCTTATGTCACTGCAGGATGGCCTCCTTCGGATATATACGTCGTCGAGAATACAGGTGTCATGAATTCAAATAAAGATGGGCAACTATCACTTCAAAATCCTTTCTTTCTCAATCATACTCGATTAAATATGCTTGGTGTGAATGTACTCATAGCACCTACTCTACTCACCTTCTCTCAAGTACAAAACTATTTCTTATGGACAGCTATTGAGAACAAATGGCCAACCTATTTCTGGAGTCATATGGATCTCGCCATTCTGTCATTCGAGGATCGGTGGATAGATGCTCATCCAGATATTGTCAATCCCCCACCCAAAGAATTTCAATCTCTTTACGATAATTGTGTCTCGGCTCTCCGTAATGTAACAACTCCAAACCCTGAAACAGGAGTCGTAAAACCATGGGCCCTCGAATTCTTCTCCTACGATCGTCTCGCTCTCGTCAATACGGAATCATATCAGAAAGTCGGAGGTTGGGATACCTTAATACCTTTCTACGGTACCGATTGCGACATGCATGAAAGACTCGCCATGGAAGGATTCGAAATGAGAGACTGGCCTGCAGGTGCTATCTGGGATGTAGCGAGTAGTCTGGATGATCTCGAAGTTTTGTATCGAAAGAAAGAGGGTCCAGATCCTTCTTTCATTGATCCGAATGCCGTCGAAGAAGAACTCGCTAAAGCAGATTCGAACTCAACTGCCGATGTTTCTCTTCCCTCTGAGAAACAGCCCCGCGATCTAGGCCCGGGAAATCTTCTCTCGGATAAAAATCAGAGAGAATGGACCGATGAGCCCGTAGCCCAGGAATCTTGGCGCAAACTTTTAGATGTATTGGGTCACATGGGAAATTCCAAGGTCGCGAATAAAAACGGACGAAATACGTGGCAGGGAAGACAGGTTGGCGGACAAAATGATCCTTACTATAGGGACTCTGAGGGTTTCGAGATAGGTATTCAGATGTCGATTGAACATGGGAGGAGAGTGTTTGCGGAGAAATGGGGACACAGAGATTGTGATTTGAGGGCTCAGGGCTTGGTGCCTGGTGATGCTTGGAGGGTAGAACGGGATTGGTAAGTTTTAGGGAGCGGGTGAGGCGTGCTTGGCTTCTGGCGGTCGGGTTTGAATATTAATGGTATTTGGAAGTTGAAGAAGTTCGCAGCAATGAATAGCGAAGTCGCTGTGTACATCGGAAGAGACGGACGGTAAAATAAATAAATAAATAGGAATGGGTATGCGAATAGGAGAAGGGAAGGCGAAGATCCATTAAAAGATTTGAATCAGCACACCCAAGAGGATTCACATATGGATCGTGGGCTGCGAGATACGAGCCCTTATCAATGCGAGTATTCGAGCGAACGAGATACTGGGGATCTGTATATTTATATTACATGGAGTGCGTGTTTTAATGGCGTTTATGGCGGGGTGGGCATGGAATAGCTAGATTGGTTATGTATGTACTCGAGTAGGAGAAAATGTAATGTATTATGATTCTGGTTTCATGGTGTATTTTTGTTATATTTGTATGATTTGTTCTTGGCCGGCGAGTGAAGATGTAATAGGTGATGAAGCTATGTGAGATATGTAAGGAATAGGTACTATGTAGATAGATGTTTAGGTATGGAATATTCATACTATGTATACATTAGTATCTAGATAGGTGTGTAGTACCAAATTAGTTATGGCAAGAGTGTTTGGTATCAAGATTAAAATGGACAGTGTAGAAGTGATTGATTGATTGATTGTATTTCAAGATCCCTATGCAACTCTCTCGCCCCGTGATTCAAGAATTCCAAGTCTCCAAACACGAACACCAAACCAATCCAAAACCCATTTCCATATCCTAAATCCAATATGCAAATAAATAGATACCTAGCGAACCCAAAACCAAAGAACCCTCTCTTACTCCCCCGTCAAATCCAAAACTTCCACCTCCTCCGCCCTCCACGCTCTACTCCTCCCCTCCACCAACTCCTCCCTCCCCACTTCCCTCCACGACCCAGGTAACGATTCGCGCAGCATAATATATCTCCTCGTATTTTTCTCCCTTTTCCCTCTATCAAACGATACATTTTCCTCGACTATTTCCGTTTCGATTGTTTGTTCCCTTATCGTTTCAATTTCGTTGATTTGTTCTCCTTCTTTTTCTTCTTCTCCTTGCGGGGTTCGTCGCGAAAGGAATTTGAGAGATTTAGGTTTGAGGGGTGAATGGGAGGGGGAATTGGTGATGTTGTAGATTGTAGTGTTGATGTTGATGGTGGTGTGGTATGTGGGTGTGTAAGTGTTATTATGATCATGGCTATGTTCGTAATCGTAAGCGTAATCGTGATTGTTATATTGCGGACTCATTTTCATTGGCAGGGGAGAACTAGATGGAATAACAAGTTTGGGATATCTGGGAGAGTCATCGAAATCTTGGATCAATGGTTCGGGAAAGGCGGATGGGGTTCCGGGAGGGGAGGAAGTGAGGTCGATGATTCTTCCTGGTGAGTAATTTTGCGAAGGAGCAGTTTTGTAGGAAGACTTGGAGATGGATGAGCAGCCCGAGGAAGAAGATTTATTGCTTGAAGAGTGTAGTGAAAAATTGATTTTACGGTTTGTGGGTTGGGGAGTGAGTGGTGGGCGGGTGCTCGGATTCGTATGGAGAGCTGCTAGAGGTGAAGAGAGGCCTGATCTTGTGTTTGTTGGGGGTGAAGACCGCCTTTTCTGTGGAGAGGGTCGATCGCTGTAGACTGGAGTTCTGTTAAGTGGGAGAGATGGCTCATCCGCTTCGTCATCACTTAAGGAAACATGTTGTTGTCGATGCTTTTGTCTGGAGAGTGGTGAAGGGATGTATTGAGGTTTGGGACTTGGACTCATCGAGCCATAGGGTTGAAATGTTTTAGTTGGAGTTGAGGGTTTTCGAAGACGTGAGGCCTTTGTAATTTGAGGTAAAGGTTGAGAAAATGATGATTGAGATGTAGCCCATGGATTCAACCTTGGGTTTTCCTTCTCTTTGACAGCAGCGGGTTTATGACCGCGTATGAGTCGTTTCTTTGTCACTACTGGTACTGGTGACTTAGGACTTCTAATACTTGGAGCCAAGAATTGAGGTGGTAGGTCATCTTCCGATAGTTCGATATTTTGGGTAGGCTGACTCAGTGCTTTGGCTGTAGGCCTGATGCCTCTTTCTGATCTCTCGACAAAACGATCCATTGCACTCTTAGACATGCCACCGGTACTTTGACTTGATGCTCTAGGCTTGGTGGTTTTAGTTGCTGCTCTTTTTGCAGCAGCCTTTTGTTTCAAGGCCTTTTTAGGGTCTCGAAGAGCTTCTTCATAGTCCTCTACAGTAAGTGGTACGCCAACCTTAACAATAGACTCAAATATCCATAATTTATCCGCTTTTGTGGGATCATATGGAGAAGGACCACGTTTTCGTGGAGTATCAGTTGGTGCCGCATCATCCGATGCGTACGCCTGAATTTGATCATCCTCAAGAAGAGGGGCCAATCCATCTCTTCCGTAGTCTTCAACCTCATCGTCTTCTTCATCTAGATCAATATTAACGATTTCAAGAGGCTGGTAGATGACTCTCAATTCTGGAACTTCATCCGTAGTGACATGTCTTCTTTGGCCGCAGATAGACTTTACCAATTTCATCTCGTTAATTTTTGTAAGCATAGGGTCATCGTATCCGGAATCTTGACGATCTCCACGTTGACGAAGTTTTGTGAGCAACAAAACTGGTGCTAAACCTCGTACAAACTTTTTTGCCCCCTCTTTCCCTTTCCATTCAAATGCATCGCCGACGAAATTTTGAAGTCTTGGAATATTAATCTCTCCTTCCCATACAATCTGGTCCCGAAGCCTTTCAATCTTGGCCAAAGATGAAACAACAGGATGTGTATAGTAACCCAGAACTTTACGATCCGGGAAATCTTCAGGGATTTGTAGAGCCTTTCGTTTAGTTCTAAAGAACTTGCTTTCGTTTGTGAATAATTCGTGAGCCAAATCTGCTCTCCATTTATCATACGCGGCTACGTCCTCTCTTCGAATCTGACACAACCTCTTTCCAAAGCCGGCTCTAGCAGCTTCACAAGCAACCTTCACACCACATCCAGGAATTCCTTCGGTTTTATAATCGCCACCACTCATCAAAGCTACTAGAATCATCCCTTCACGATCCAGTCCTGATTTACCGGCTTTAGTAGCTTTAGCATCATAAACATTAACATGTGTTGGTGAACCAGCACCACTCTTCTTCTCCGTTGCTCCAGCAGACCAGCTTCGGAATGTCAGCCCACTTCCAAACATAAGTGTATCGACATCTTCACTCAGCACAGCATCTACAACCCCTTCACGCTGTAGAAGAGCACACTCTGCTTCAGCTTCTCCAGGAGCAATATGATATGCAAACCCGAATAATTTAAGTAGTTCTTTAGTCATCAAATCCGGGATGGAAGCACCGCCGCGCCCCGTTTGCTTGTTACGCTTGACGGGTGGTTTGTGAGGCCCATCAAAGACAAACAATGGCTGTACGGAAATAGAAAGAAGGCGAAGAAGTCGATAGTACAGTGTTCGCAGCGCCGGATTCGTACCACCTATGACCGATGAGTCGTACATTCCCATGATCATGTGCTAATCAGCTTACCTTGACCAGACTGAATTTGGAAGTTCCATATCGAGATATCGATTGCTATCCGCAAAGGAATTCCAGTTTTCTCATATTTCTCGATCGAGATTTTCGAAAGAGCTACTCTTTCTCCGGGTCCAATCTCCCCGTAAATTCTGAAACTTTGATCAGTATATAGAGCTTGTGTTGTGGAAAATATCGTCACTCACCCCTTGATACCCATGATGGCAAACGTAATTCTTCAAATCTAATTCCAAAAATTATACATAATAATAGCACTGCTATTAAGAAACGATAACTTTACAAGGTAAAAGCAAAAGGGTCTGGTTTGAACGATAATGCTCGTGAATGAAGTTGAAGAAAATCGATAAGAATAGTTTCATCGATATCTTTGTTGACAGTTTCTCGTTGCCACAGCAATAAAGGTCAACCCTCCAAAAACCAGCTAAAAGAACTATGGATACCTACTAGCAATGGGTAATTGATTACAACCCCGGTCTCCAAGCTTGCATGCCGAGTTAGGATCGAAATGGAAGCATAGCAAAAATGTCACATTCATCCGGCCCAGCTCATCGCAGCGTATCGAATATTCGTCCATCTATAAATCCACAGGGTGGTAGTGGTGCGCCTTCAACACCGCATACGCCTATTCGACAACTCTCAAACTCATTTGGTTCGCCCTCTACTCTGCGCGCAGAAGAAGAATGTATAGTGATTGAAATCGGATGTCGATATGTAAAGGTCGGTTTCGCAGGCGATGCAGGACCTAAAGCAGTCATAAATTTTGGACCAGAAGAACAGAGAAGAGTGGGGGATTTTAGGAGATGGCAGCCAGGATACGATAAAGCTTGGAGGGAGAGGATACATGGGAAGAAATGGGGGGAGGCACATGAGCTCTGGAAGTTAGATTTGAGGGACGTGGATTTGGGACTAGTGGGTGATAAGATTGAGAGGGCTGTGAGGGATGCTTATACAAAGTTTGTAGAGCCTCTTCTAGTCTGAAGAGGACGTTACTGACCATGGCTTCGCAGATTCCTACTGATCGATTCGAGGCCGAGAAAAGTGACTTTGGCACTCCCGTCTATATTACCATCACCTCTTCTCTCTACAATTTTAGATACGATGTTTACGAATTTCCAGTCTCCGAATATATCTTTACATTCCACACCAGCACTCACGACGGTAGCCGCAGGTCTTCGAGCCGCTATGATCGTAGATATTGGTTGGAACGAAACCATAGTAACTGGAATATATGAGTTCCGAGAAGTATCGAGCCACAGATCTATAAGGGCGACGAAGTTACTAGGACAAGCGATGCGCACACTGTTGGCCGAATCTTTCGACCCGAAAATATTGATGCAGGAGTCAATAGACGGCCAAGAAAATGTGGCCTTGGAAGAATTTATAAGTTTCGAAGAGTGCGAAGAAATAGTCAATCGAATGGCATGGTGCAAGCCATCTCGAAATTTCGTCCCCAAACCCGCACCCGAAAGTGGTCTCGCGCCATTAGAAGAAGAAGAAACCGAATTACAAGCCGGTATGCGGTCGCTAAACATCACCAAAGTCCCAGAATCCAACGATATAGTCACAATTCCACTGAAATCCACCCTCCCACCACGCAAACTCCGCATTCCCTTTTCCCAACTTGCTCAACCCTGCGAAGAAGCACTCCTCGCAACCCATCTCCCCACCCCCGAGCTCGACGATGAAGAACTCCCCATACATCTCCTCCTCTACCAAGCTCTCCTACGTCTTCCCGTCGACCTCCGCTCTGTTTGCATGTCCCGAATCGTTTTTGTGGGCGGCGGCTCCAGTATCATTGGTTTGAAAGCCCGAATTCTGGAAGAACTTAATACGCTTGTCGAAGAACGAGGCTGGGATCCCGTCCAAGGAAAGGCAGTTTCGCAATACAAAAGCAATCCCAAACTTACTCGTTATCGCCAATCACAAACACCCACTTCCCCCATCGAAACCCCCTCATCACCTCCTCCCTCCTCTCCCTCCTCTCCTTCCTCTCCCTCCTCTCCCTCCTCTTCCATCTCCCCAACCACACCCCATCCTCCACGTATCATCCCCGCCGCCCATCAATCCCCCGAACCCGACTCCATCGCCGCAACTATCTATGCCAGATCAGACAAATTCACCATCCCCGAGGAAAAAGGCATCATACGAGCCGTCGAAAGTCTCGGCGCCTGGTCCGGCGCATCTCTACTATCGCAACTTAAGATCCCCGCTGTAAGTTCCATCGATAGAGAAGCATGGATGCTGCATGGTCTTTCCGGAGCAAATCGTAATGCGGAGGTGAGTGTAGCTGCGGGTGCAGGAAATAGAGGTAGCATGGGACCCGGAGCTTTCAAGGGTGGCGTCGGGGAGAAGGGGAGCTGGACCTTGGGATTGTGGGGGTCGTAGATGGATGGGAGAGCGAGGGAATAATGGGTTTATGAATCATGATTAGAGAGATATTAATGATTATGAGATATCGCTATGGTTGAGCATTTAGGATGCATGTATCACCTATTGCAGTAAGTGTATGACTCAAAATGCAAAAAGAACCAGAGAGAGTACAGCGTGCATGTTTTCTAAGAGCACGTTCTCCTATGCATGTACAAAAAGCCTTGTCTTCTCTATTCATCGAATATCTATTAAGGGGTAAAGGCGGTACCGTATAGCAGACGAAATTTGGCGAATAGTTTGATAGATGATACTGTGCTTGCAAGTAGATCCCATCTTCAATTTTTTTCACGTCATAAATCAATCAACCAAACATTGTATAAAGTAATTAACTTTTGGATTTGCAAGTTAATGCCGCTAAACTTCAAAATTTACACCAGAAGATGCAAATAAAAGCTATATACAAGAAGCGAATGCATCCGCTGGTATCCCGAAGCTACAAAGGACAATATAGACAGGGACAGCAAGTTAGTGTCCCATCGTGTAATGTGTGAAAATGATTGGGTATCTGATGAATCTGAAAAAGACTCCAATAGTATACCGAAACTCCTAAGCCTTACTGATCATCTCGAGCGCCCCCGAAGCCAGCCATGTGTAAAGAGTATTAAGTGCGCCCAATCCCAATCCCATTCCCATGCAAAAAAATGCTGTTATTTAGCGCCCAATATTCATGTCCTCGTGGTCGTTCATTTTATATAATTTGTTCGGTCAAACAGCAGTGCACGACCTATCATAACTCGGGATGAGAATGAATATAATAAGGCATCTCCGTGTGAGTGAACAAGTCCATATCTGCATCAAGATTTGGCGCCTCTGTGTGCGTATATAAAGACATCTCTGTATCAGGTTGTGGCGCATATACTGCATGAAGTTGTGCTATGTGTGCAGCATCCTCAATTGTAATACCTACTGGAGGGTGTGTAAGTTGGCTTTCCTCAAGTTGTGCCTCGGGCTGTATGCTTTCTGGCTCGTCGTCCAATTCCGATACTGTAGATCTATAGTCTTCGTCCTCATCTTCATCCTCACTTCCAGAATTCATCACTTCGTCTTCATCCTCACTCTCAGAGTTCATCACATCATCTTCGTCTTCTGAACCGTGTTCCAGGTCTGGTTCAGTGATAGTATCACTAATTATGGAGGCACGAGATACTGGACGTGGGATTGATCCTGCTGTTGGTTGACTTGGAGAATATATATCGTTCCTGAGAAACGTAGCAGTATTGGCTGCTTCCTGAGTATCGGTAGTAGCTCTTTCTGATAAAAAGTCCCAGTCTTTTTGATCCAAAACATGTTTTATCAGTCGACTTTGTTCAGGATCTGCAAGAGCATCTCTTAGATGCCAGATTGGTTTGCCGTAACTTGGAATCCAGAATCTGCAGTCGCGAATCGAAAGTACACGAAGGTTGGGTCCCATCTTTCGAGAAATTTTCTCTGCAAGTTCTTTATTCTCACATTCGGATTCTGCGAAATGCTTCATGCCCAGAAGGTGATCATGAACCAATGAATTAAGTCGAGGGCTAGACTGATCGTGTGGATCGGGGAGAAGGCCATAATTCCATAATAACTTAGGATTCAGTACTAGAACTTTGATATTATGCCATGCGCGGTATGATTTAAAGCCAACGTCTATGTTAGTAATGTTAAAGCGATCAAGTCTAGCACGGCGAAGATCTTCGCCCCAATAGCCTCCACCATCAACGGACAGGAAATCTGCAGGTCGAGTCCACTCTTGTCCTCTAGGAACATTGGCATAGTGATCAGGAGTATGTTCTGAATCCAGTCGAATTTCTTTGATTGACATCCATCCTTTAAGCGCTTTATTCAATGGATTTTCATACTTCAATAGTCGGTTATCTTCAGCTGCATTCAGGAGTTGAAAACTTTGAAGGGTAGGTTTGTGTGATTCGATAAAGGCGAGCATAATTTTGGTCATGGTGCGAGGGTGTTCGAATGAGTGTTTCTCAGACTCGGGCCATTGTAAATGAAGATGATTTAGGCGAGGAAAGAGGGGGGCTTGCTCGGAAGAACTTTTGAGAATGAAGGAAAGTAATGTTTCATCTAAAAAGTCGAAGTAGAATCTGGTCAAATTGTGTCTGCATCTGCGGAATGATTGTAGGACAATTTTTGGAGGAGCAATAACACTATAATTTAAAATCAGTATAGAAGAGTACTAAAACGGAAGTTGAACTGACAGGTGTGCATCGTCTTCAAGAACTAGCTCACGCATGGAGGCGGGGAAGCCAACGTTGTAATTTTGAATCAATGGTGAACTTTCATCAATCTCATTGGGTACAAGGCTCGCCCAGAATCTCGCCAAAGTATACTGTCCTTGATTGTGAAAGGATCTATTATCACGAGTCACGGCAATGTGAAGGACTTCGAGGTTGCTTTCTCGCACCTCAGCACCTAGAGCTGCTGATTCCAAAGGTGATAGCAAACCAATCTCGAATGTTGTTAGTCTTGATAACCCTCGGAAATTCAATACCATGTTATCAACCAGGTCTTGTTTCTCGTTATGGGAAAGCTGACTAATAGCTTCTGCCGAATGGTTTCTGTCTAGAAGAGCCTGGGAGTCAACTGTCGTTGTTCGCCATATCCGTAGTTCTCGAAGCGATGGTAATGCGAGTAGTAAATCCCAGGTTTTTCTGTTAACTTCACCATCGATTCGAAGGGTGTAAAGGTTCTCCATCATAGGAAATAAGTCCCCATAAACCTCTCGAATCGTCCAATCTTCTCTCGAACCTCCTTGGGGTAGATCTCTCGAGTCGACATCCCATACTGTTCTGAGGGCAAAGTTTTTGACCTTCGGTAGCCTCGAAACGATTGAAGGCACTCGGTGCTCTCCTCGTCCCATTCTCATCCATGGAGGTCGTAGATGTGTGTCGTTTCGTCTTTCGTGACTTTCATGGCGTAAGATTCGAAGAGGATCTTGTCCATCTGAGGGGTAGGATGGATCGTAGAATTGAGCGGTATTGATGGTGATATTTGACCACAGGATTCGTTCGGCAATATCATTGTATGCCCAGCTAACTAGCGCCCAGTTCTTCAATGATTCCAAGTCGTCAGTCCGAGATATAATGTGGTTGATAATTTCCGTGGGGAGATATGGGATTGTTATCGGTTTCGCGGATCGTGGTGTGACGTGGTTAGCGATACCTGCGATAACGTTAATGAGATGGCAGGGCGTAGAGGGGAGAATACATACTTGGCCAGGATACCATATTGTTACCTGTTGAGATATTTGAATGTTCATCATGGAGGATAGAACCATCGGCTGGCAAGCAGTTTTTGAGAGCCGCCGACTGCCAATTACCATCTCTCTTACTTTTGGACAGGGTAATCGGTTCACAAGTAGCTTTACCATAGGTGGAATGCCGTTTGAACTTTTCCATTGTTACTAAATATTGTGGTGTAGATATATTGTATATGAGATGATTTAAAGAACGATAGATATCAAGTATCTATATTAATATTGATTTGAATTTGCAGTTGCGGAAGTTGAATGTTTAAAAAAGGTGAGGAGGTGAGATGGTTATATCTATGATCGGTAGTAGAAGTATCGCAGGTGTACCTGGTACGTTCCGGTGCATGAGATGGCTATTTCAGTCTTAACTCGATGATAGCCGAGCCCAGAGATATCCACCACCTCTTTTTTTTTGAGGGGGCGCGGAAGAGTTTCAAGGGTTATGACATTTCTTAACCTTGCGTTGAATCCCAAGTAGTGCTACTATTGTAACCATGGAGGAGATGTCCTAATCGTTGTACCGCCCGCCACATTGGATGATGAGAGGAGAAGTACACTTGACTTGAAAGGCTTCATGTTTTTCATTCTTGAGTGGATAGATTTTACAGTATTACTCATGTGTATGACCGTATAAGGAGCCAAAAGGATCGATTGCACTACCTCGACTACCTACCTAGGTAGATATCGTTCTCAGCTCAGCTCAGGTACTGGGAGTCTCTCTATTTGCCTTTGAATGCATTTTCTTTGAGTTATCAAAATATGAACCTTGTACGGTGGCATGAATCCATTATACATGTCATGATACCACTATGAGATGAAGATTAACTTCTAACAGTTGGTAAGCATGGGCAAGTTGAGTATGTTAGGCGCGAATACATTTATTGCCCAGTCATCATTTCATGTTTCCGATTTACCATTTTGGATTGTCAAAACGTCTCACAACCCTTCAAAATTCTTCCTTGGATCTGTTCCCCCATTTCATCGATTGGGTATAAAATCCCCGAATGCTACTCGGTCGGGTACTATAAACAGTGGATTTCTCTTGCCAGCGGCGGCCGTACACGTTGACCTCGAGAATTTTTCAAAGCACACGTTCTTCCAATACTTTCAATCCTACAGCCACAAAATGGCCTCGACCTTGTCTTTTATTTGAGGAATTCTGAGAGTGGTGGAGGCAATGCGTTTTCAATCGACTGATCACCAGAAGAGGAGAATTTGTGAATATTCCTCATGACAAGATGACTGCTTGGGAATGGACTACAGTATTGACATCATGACAAAGGGATTGATCATTGATCAGCTACCTACCCTCTCTTCTCTATTTGATATGGAGTAAAAGAGGACCCTTTCAGATACCGCCTCAATGCAGGCCCATCCATTTTCAGTTATGATATCTGCCAGTGCTAGTATCAGGAACTTAATAATAGCTTGAGGGAAATTATCAATGTATCCACTGTGGAGGAAGGGCAAATCTATGGAGTGGTAAATTTATGGAGTGGTTCTAGAATTCAGCCATTTCACTTATTTCTCTACTTACATCTACACCTACTCGTAAGGTTACAGCTTCCATCTAGCTTTCCGTCTCTTTCTATCATTCGGCTTCCTCCTTTGTTTCTCATCTGCTATTCTGCTACATAGGTACAACTCTTTCTTGAGATGACTCTCAAATGTACACGGTGAAGGGCCTCTGCTACATATTTCAGCTCAGAGGCTTGAACATGGCCATGATCTGGGTCTTCAGGATCATTTATTATGGGACAGATGGGGAATCTTTCCACTCTTTTGCTCTTCATTCCAAGAGTATCCTGCTGTTCCACTTGACGAGGCATCAATTCAAACACCCAGCTGATATTCTCGAATAACTTCCAAATCCTTCCGCCTATCAGGTAATGAGAAGTCAATCCCGTTGCGCCTCATAGATGCATCTTAGATGTCTCGCTCTTATCGTGGCGGGGAGCGTACAAGATCGAGAAATCACGATCATCGGGTACAAATGATATCATGTTTGTCCTCTTATGCTTACGCCATGAGGTTACGATCTGTACTGTTTCCATCGATTCGATCTCCTCACGATGAGAAAATTCCATTCTTCGAAATGAACGTTACAGAGATCATATATGTAAGACATATTTGCTATAGATTCCTACATGAGTATTTCGCGGCGCACACTTCAAAGTACTTACGGAGAGAGAACGAAAAGTGATTAAACTCACATAGTTATAAAACTTGACCCAAAAGGAACTCACCTGATGATCCTACCACGTCTGGAAGAGAATATTTTGGAATTTGGGCAATCCCAAATCACGTTCTTTGAGCTCTAAGATTAATTTTATTGATTATTCCAGAATTTTAGAACAATACAAACTCCGAGCAAGCAGTCTGTACCATCTATCTCACACGATGTACTTTGTACCCTCACGTTACGAGAAAGAAAGAAGGCATTCGTCAGCCTTGCTACGATGATTTAGCCTTGCATAAGGGTCCAACAATACCCAGGTGATCCCTTGAAGCTCAATCAATCAATCTGAGATCCTGCATGATTCTTGATGCTGCCAACGTTTCGAATTTACCTTCTCCATTACCTAGCATCTCCATCTCCATCACATTGCCGACTTTGATTGGTCTAGAATGTGAGAAGCACGGCATTCACGAATTCCCAATATTATTTGATAATCGATTCCAATTGGAGATTCGGGGATAATGTTCGATGATAGATATGGGGATTTGATTGGTATTTGTCTTATGCTTATCGATTATTCAGCCGTGCTTTGGATACCCTGGTTGTATCTTTTCCCACTCTTCGAGGACCGGAGTACAAACGAATATGATGACTGGAAATTGGTACCAAGTTCCAACATACTACTGTTCTGTAACTTCTTTTCTACCCGAATCACATCATAGCATAGACATTGAATTGATGTGGTCTAAAGCGCGTTTGGAACCCATTCATTTTTCTGTTTTGGTTAAAGTATCGAATAATTATATTATCATTATCATCTAGTTTCATCTCTCCTATCCCTCCCCCCACAGACTTTGATTCACTACCTACTTTCCCAAGTACTAAGCGCTCTCTCCATATGACGTACCGGCCGTGTAATTTTGCATGCAATTTTCAATCTTAAAAGTCAAGACCCAATTTTCCATTCATCGCAGACCACTCACCAAACTTTAACCATTGGAATTAGGTCAATCCGTGGCTCGAGGGTTGGTAGCTCAATTATCATAACTTGATTCTTGGCTCACCTGCTCAAGAGGAAAAGCTTCGGCAGAAGGAAAAGAAACCGAATTCTAGATTTCTCAATTTACATCTCTTTAGTATCTTATTGTTCCGATAGTCCCCTAAAATATTTCTCGATCCTTTCTATTTACAAGATTTTAGACTTGTCCTTAGTATCAATCAAAGGGACCTTGATATATAAGCAGAAAGAAAACAAAACAGAGAACGAAATCCCCCTGGGATACATTTGTGTTTTCGGCCTCGAATTCTTTTGTTTACAAAAGATAAGCAAAAATGCAATCGCGGCGGGAATCTGCGATTGAAGATCCAAACTTCTTAACAACAACGGGGGCAGAATTACCAGCATTATCGACATCCGGAATTTCTGGAAATAGTGCAAGAAGGAACAGTAGAAGAGGCAGTATTGGGGCATCTACAGCGCGTACATCGGCGAATTCACTGGCACAACAAAACACACTGAATTCTCAAGGAACAACCGGACAACCACAACGACCTCCACCAGCGGTCTGGCGACCAACTATTCGAATCAGACGAATACCATCATCGGCCAATCTTCCTGCTGGAAATTCGCAGGCCAATCAACCTTATGATAATACATCCCGGAGAGATTGGCAGACCCGCAATAACTCAACTCCACATGTTGACAATCATCTCACATCGGTCGACGATACTATTGATACATCAAACAGGCGTCGAAGTAGTTCTGAACCACAGCGCCCAGCATGGTTAACCTCCCAATCGGCTACAGCTGCAGGTCCCCCACGGGTTAGGGCGGGTTCATATATCCCATCTACCATTGAAGAAACTTCCGCAACAAAACAAGAAGGTCCAATTTTTGCTTCAATCAATACCGGTGGAAATAATACGACAAATGAAGTCCCTCCTCCTCTACAACATTCTCATACTCATAGTGAAGGGGTCCCAAGAACACAAGATGAATACGACACTGATCTTGTTGATTTCCTTGATCTAGTTGGTTTGTCACCCCTCAATGTTGTTATAGGAATTTCTTGAATATCTCTAACCATTTTCCAGATCCCGAAATTTCTACACTGACAAGTCTTACTAATATTCAGAACTCTTTATTTATTCCATCACTTGGAAACCTATTTAACCGTAATCCAACATATAATCTTACCCGAAATGAACTTGTTCGTCGACCAACCAATGATCTCACTCGTCAGCAAACAAATCTTTCCCGTCGTCCAACAAACTTGGGGGATCTTCCAACAATAGAAGAGCCTGGGCCGAATGACGAATTAGGACAAACCCTCCCTCGCCCAGAAAGGCCTCGACTTCAAAGCAGAGATACTGGTGCTTTTACTCTCACTGAATCCATATCGCATCCAGATGAGGAACATCCTCATTATGCCGTAGTCCCGGAAGGCATTAATTTGGACGGCTGGTCACCAGAGGATAAAGAAGAACTTAATGATCATGTGCGTCATCTATTACACTCAAGAAGAGAAGGATTCAAGCGAGCAATGAAAGGATTTGGACAATATGTTAGACAGCGTAAGTTTTCTGCAATCATCTATGGCAGACATGAGACTAATATTTTTAGCTCTCGGATTCTTCGTTACCCTTTATGCAACCCTTATTACTCTATTTGGATTAGCATGGGTTCTTTTCCTGATCGGTTGGGTAAATGTTGGAAGTAAACGTCTTTATGTGATCAACGTTATTGACAATGTTCTTGTTGCCCTTTTTGCTATTATGGGTGATGGACTTGCTCCATTTCGGGCTATCGACACTTACCATATGATATACATAGCTCACTATCATCACTTAACATGGCGACTCCGCAAAGAAAAGGCTCTACCAAAATTAGAAGATCACAACGATTTACCAGCCATATTACCGGAAGATCTAGAAGATCAGATTGTCGAAGATGAAGTATCAGTCCTTAATCCAGCTCAACAAAAGAAACTTCAACATCATCAAAAGAAATTCAACCGATCTCATACGTTCTATAAGCCTCACGAAACTAATACGCATCACGCATTTCCTCTCAGATTACTTGTCGCCGTTGTCGTTCTTCTGGATTGCCATTCTCTTCTTCAAATAGCTCTTGGTACATGTACTTGGGCAATTAGTTACAAGACCAGACCATTTGCATTGACTACAGTAATTCTATGCTGTAGTATCACAGTGAATATAACAGCTGGTGTACTTATCAGTATCGGAGATCATAGGACTAGAAAGAAGGATGTTTTGGAAAGAATTTTTAAGCAAGATTTGACCAAGGAGGCTATACATAAGATGGAGAAGGCTAGGGAAAAGGAAAAGGAAAGAAATGGTGAATTGGAGGCTGAAAATAAAGCAGAAGTTGATTTCCTAAGGGACAACAGACACAATACTAAAAGGGAAAAGAAGGGAACAGGAATCGAAGTTCAGGATGAAAACGGACAAAGTGACGCTACTACTTCGACTGAAGCTAGTACTTCGAAAGATCTATAAAGTCGTGTAGGGAAGATATGAGGGATGTGTTGAATGAATTCTTAATAGGATATTTGGGATATGAGTTTGAGAATTGCATGGGTGTGGGTGCGCGCTGATGAGTGATGGATAGATGGTAATTTTATATAATAGATACCAGAGGCTTCTTCATGGCCATTTTACTATTCTTTTTAATTACTTCGATGAGTTTTGAAACAATTTACAATACAAGGCAATTCGGCTTTTTGCCCTTGTCTCTCAAACTCTTTTTTTCGTTCTAGCATTTCGGTTCAATGGATGAACGGAATTTGATATGCAACCTTTCCAAGTGCCGAAGAGATAAACAGCCACTGCGAGTAGTTATTGGATCGGACATCTGCAATCCACCTCCACCTCCACTCACCACTTTTTGCGCACATACATCACTTACTTGATTATATCAGCCACGAAAAAGATTCCATCCGTGTTAACCTATCGAGCCTGTAACCCCACCCTCCTATCGTGAACATCCAACCAAATCCATTCATTGATTCATAACCCTACCCCACCACGTCATACAGTAATAATTTATATACAAATTGTAGTACCGCATGTATCAAAAAAGGCCGGATGGTGTAGTTGGTTATCACGTGTCCTTAACAATTTCACGATTTCTGAAAGGTGATTGTGAGCTGTTACGTTCGGACAAGGTCCTGGGATCGTGCCCCAGTCTGGTCAATTGTTTTGCCGTATTTTTTTCTTCTTTTGAAATGGGGGGGAGGCCGGAAGAAAAAGAGTGTGAGTGGGATGTGGAAGATAGCTCGGATGGGTAGGTAGGTAGATAGGTACTGCGTAGACTTGTATATTTGAATTATCTAAAGGTGTAATCAATGGTTGGTTGGTATTTTGGTCTCTCTTCTTCTCCTGTCGGGGGCTCGTTCTTTTGTTCTGTGGTATTTGTATCTTTACGTACCTAGGTAGGTAGGCAGTTTCTACATTTTATGTTTTGTGTCTTATATTTGTTGATTTTCTGTGTTTGAAATCGGGGATAGCAGGCAGTAATGGGGGTAGGTTTGGGTTTACGATTGCGAGTTGAGATGGGGTAATTATCAATCTGTGGATGGGTCAAGAGACTTCTGAAGTTGAACAAGAGAAATTGTCTCGAACAGAATTAATACGGTGGTTGCGTTGCATCGATTCCATAACATAAAATTGATACCTCATTGCAATGATAAGAGATCCCTAGTCGTATGGTTGGATCTCCTAATCGAACATGACGAATTTGTGATTATAGATTGCTTCAATTTTCTGAAAAGTTCTGTAGGGGCATCGATTACAAATTTGCTTATGGGATTGCTCTAGGTGAGGTGATCACGAGTGATCAAGCCCCCATTCTTGTTTGAGACCTCACACGTTCACGGTCAGTTCACTTCATCACTACTATTAATCGAAATATTCAAGATGACAATCCTCTCACTTCCTCCCCCCTTACTCATCAATGAACTCTCATACATCCCACCCCCATCCGCAAAAGCATTCGAAGAAGAATTCGCCGGTATCCTTCCCCCGGGAAAAGATATCCAATCATCTCGAGGAACAATCCATTACTATGATTTCAATCCCTCCTCATCAAATACCAAAAAAGTTCTCCTAATCCACGGTATTGGAACAAGTGCTATTGGTATCACGTCTCTTGCCCGTCAACTCGCGGCCTCGGGATCTCATGTTGTGATTTATGATCTCTGGGGCCATGGAAATTCTTCGACTCCTTTGGAAGCACATACGCCGGCGTTGATGCATCTGCAGATTTTTGAAGTTCTCTCGCATTTGGGATGGAACAGGGCGCATTTTGTGGGGTTTAGTTTGGGCGGGAGTATTGTGGCTACTTTCGCGGCGGTGTATCCACAGCTTGTGGAGAGCGCGGCGGTTGTAGCTGGAGCGGGTCTTTGGAGGAAGAAGAATAGTGGATGGTGGAATAAGGTGCAGAAGGATGGAGATTGGATGGTAGATGGAGAGAGTGATCATATTATCATTGAGGAATTAGTGGGCTTCGCTCCATCGGATAGAACCTGGAAAGAAGCAATTCATCGAGGAGAACTTGTATCCCAGCCGATCGATCAATGGCAGAGAGAAAATCATAAAGGTCATATAGCGAGTGTGGTTAGTATTTTCAGATATGGGAATGTTTTTGATCAACATGAGAGTTATAGGAGGTTGATTAAGAGTGGGATCAAGATTTTGGTAATCGTGGGGGAATTTGATACTTCATTTCCACCGGAATTTGTGAAGAGAGAGTTGGGGGAGTTGGAGTGGGAGAAAGAGATAGTGCAGGTGGATGGAGCGGGGCTTGTTTTGGTGAGGACGCATGAGGAGGTGGTGGGGAAATTTATTGAGGAGTTTTGGGAGAGAGAATTTGGGATGTGAAAGGGGGTGGGTTTGTGTTTAAGGAAGATTACGGGAGGGAGAGGGTAGGATTTTGGGTGTTGGTTCTTGGTAGATGGATAAATTGATGGATGTGTAAAGACACGAAAGTAGAAGAATGTTCATACGATCATAAATTATGAAGAACTGCGGGGATGTTGGTCGAGGTGTTGCCATTGAGAAGGGTACTAAGAATTGTAATCTTACAGTTTTTTAGAAGCTGTGAGTGCTAGTCTATGTTCAACGTCTCATCTGAGTTTCTTTGTGGCTCCTTAATCGCTGGGACATCTGATTTGTAGGATGAGTGAACTCGGGAATTCTATTTTTCGAGAGAAGAAGCTGACTGCTAGCTTATTTCTATCTCCATAGACAAAGAGGGAAGTACATTGCATGGGCGTCTCAAATGTATTTAAGAATGGAGACTTCAACACTCTAGCACTATGTCTTTCAAGTCTTCTAAACAAGGGGTAAATTTCTTTAACGAAGTGTGCAAGATTACCCAAAATGGGAAATCACTCGGTACAATGAATTCACAATGATTCTCTCATCAATTGTTTTGGATATCTTGTCATTAATCATATATTCTAATAATAGTATGTAAGTCGCATGCTATACTTTTACATCCTCTATGGATCCCATGCTGAAACGCCTTGCTGTAGAAAAAGCTGTAAAAACGAAAAAGAAAACCACCCTTGCCGACCGTAGTTGGCAGTCCCACGCATATGGTATTAGATTGAGAAACCTCTCCCGTAACATTTTTGCCTTCTGAACAGAAATGTTACTCATGTCCTCCCTTCATTATCCCGTGTAGTCCCAGATGCTAGTAATACCCTCCCTTCATCATTCCATTCTATGCCGATCTAGACGGATTCTCTCGCATAGCCATGACCTTGGTACTTGGTCGCAGATGGAACTCTATCATCCATCGGATATCCATCTCTGCTTCCTGTCGCAACTGGAGTCGAATATTGTTGTCCCTTTCCTTGGATAATGGCACTTGGATGTCTCACGTTGAAAATTACCATAACCAAGAACATAAGCGAAGCGTCAAAGACGTAGATGTAGGTTTCGGTCGACAAAAGAGTACCATCAGATCCTTGTACATACTCTGCGATACGGAATATCGATCGAATCATGATAAAAGTACTGGCGACGTAAAGAATGTATAGATATTGTTGCCATGGTACGGCAGAAGCATGAAGTCCGCCTTGTGCTTTTACGATTCTCATGTGGAAAATGCCGGTCGTGACGATGAAGAAAGCGAAGAAAACAACTTGGACGACGAGACCACCCGTGATAATATTTTCTCCCAACTTGACGTTTGAAGGGGTACTGGCTTTAGCGAGCATTCCACCACCACTGGATTGCATCAGGAAAGAAAGAACATCGCCGGCGACGAATATTTTGGTGAGCCAGCGCGCGCGAATGATGGAATAGTTTTCGCCGTCGGTGAGCACGATGATACGTCCGAGGACCATGTAGATGGATGCTGCGAAAAAGGCGGGGGCGATGAGGATGAGAAGTGTTTGCATGATGTAGGGTCCGAGTGTCCAATCACCGTAGTCCTCGCGAGAGGATAGGAGACGCCCGACGTAACCAATGGCTTCAACTGTAGAGTTGTTTAGTGTAAGTTAAGAAATGTGAAAGAGGTAGGTTATCGACAGCGTTCAGATCATGTGAAATGAAGCTGTGAAGATTTGTGGAAGAGTACACTTACATAAACCTCCGATAACGAAGGGAATGAAATACCATGTTCGCTTGGAAATTAATTGGTAGATGTGGAGGATGGCTGAGATGCCAAATAGGACTACGAAAACGCAAGCCGCGGCTGTTGATGGCTCATAGTGATAGAGCATATATTTTTCTCCATTGACCGACATGATGATTGGTGTGTGATGGGTGTATCACGTTCGTCTAATCGTTAAATATCAATTCGAAGCTCGGGGGACAGGAGGGAGAGGAATATATCGGAACTCGAGATTTTGAATGGTTTGTTTGTGGTCTTTCAAGAGGATAGAAAGAAGCTTGAAGATGGGAATGAGATGGAATAGAATGCTCCATTTTGAAAACAGGAAGAGAGCTATATAATACGTGATTTTTTTGGATAAATGCAAAGTAGATGAAAAGTCACATCTTCGTACTGAGAAGCTCTTCATTGGAGACGCATTGGCGCACTCGTACATCGCTTTCTCGCTTTCTCGCATTCGGAAGGGCTCGCATAGAATGCGAGGAGGGCGGAGCTTGAAAGTGGGTACAACTAGGCGGTAGACTCTTCCAATCCCTGCCTTATGTAAGAAGCTTGAGTAGGATAGGATTGGCATCTCAAGATTGGAAAGAGGCTCTAGAAATGTGATTTTGGGAGGACGATACTTTGAAGTGTTTTTGTTCTGCAAGTCGTGTTTGCTAATGTTTTCAAAGAATTGTTACTTCCTGGAGTACAGCACAATCTCGTAGATTGAATACAAACAGATCTTTTGGTCTGCTCCCTTCACCGAATCTCAATACTCGCTCGAGACTCGCAATCAACAAGCTAGATAATCGTAATTGCCATGATACGAACTTTGATTGGGGAAGTGTGAGGTTTTGTGTGCGGAATAAAAGATGTAGAATTAGAATGGTGCCAAGGATCAAGATATTAGTTCAGAATTAGCTAATTTAAGCTAAATTAATGTTACGTAAGCAGATACAATAGGAGTGGTAAAGCTTACAACTCCTATTGTATCTGCTTACGTAACAATTAATTTAGTAATTATATATGATAAAAGTATAACGAATACTATAAATAAATAAAATGCTTTATTCTAAAGTAAAAATATATTTAGTTTTTGTATTCCTTTTTAAGTTTATATATAATTATTTTTTAAAAACTTTAATTAGTTTTATTGATACTCTTTTATTTAATATCTATTTATTTTATTTTGCTTTTTTTTTCTAAAAAATAAATTAGATATTTAGTTATTTCTTTTTCTTTTCTCCTATATTATATTCTTTTATATAAAATCCGCTTTGAAGTCAGTTTTGAGTTTTATAGAATTTCTGTCACGGTCATGGACTAAAGGGCTCCATTAGGCACGTGATAGTAAGCCCTCGGGCCTACCATATGCCAAAGGAAGCTCGCATATACATATAAATTGTATAATTTTCATAAATTTAGAAGAATTAATAAAAAATCTTAGTGCTACATTTTATCTAATTGATTTATTACTAGTATTTATTTTAACAATTTTTTTCATTCTTTAATAGAATAATTTATCAATTAATATCTATCGAAAAACTATTAATATTAATATGATCTTTATAAAAAGAATGCTTGGAGATTATAATTTGTATAATATAATCTTAAATTAATTGGATAGAAATACTAATTAATTTCTTAAGAAAATCAATATTAATATATAAATAATCCAATTACAATAACCTTCTGACAATAAGGATCTACCACTAATTTAATAATTTCAAGAAATAAAAGAAAAAATGGCTGCTATAAGAAAAGCTTATAAAATAACGATAAACCACCTATTATATATAATCATTCTAGTTAATTATAATAGCTCTGTAGTTATAATGTATATAGCTCTTAGAGTTACTATTTCAAATCAAGAAAAACCTTTTAAACTATAGAGACTAAAATAATATAAAAGGAAAAACATTAATAAAGCTAAAGACTTTTTTTTTTAAGTAGAGATTATATTTCGAAATAATAATGAATATCATTTTTCAACAAATAAAAAAAAAATAAATTATATTATTTAATATTTTAAAAAGCAACCCCTAGTGGTTTAGTATCAATATGAAAATGAGTTATTAAATGAAATAATGAAATGGGGAAATTTTAAAGAATATATATACAATATAATTATAAACAAAGAAAACTAATAGCAACAAATAATTCAAAAAATTGTGTATATAAAACAAAAAAAAAGCGAAACCATAAATACCTTTATAATATACTTAAAAAACCTCAAAGAAAATATCGAGTAAAAACCGGATAGTATTCGGAAAAAAAGGCTATTAGCAAATCTTTTGTTTAGTTTAACTTGGAGAATATCTGAGTCACCCTAACAATCTGAATCTTGCCTCGAATTTATTAAGTATACCTACAGATTAGAAAATATTAATAAATTATATCCAAATAGAGATACTAGAGAGTTGCAATGAGTGTGTAAGTATATCTATTTCCCTTTATAATCAGATTTTCTTTTAAAATGTTTTTATATATAGAATAATATATTTATAAATATTATTCTTTAGGGTTGAGAATCAAACCAATTAACAAGAAACTCAACAATCAAATTAGAAAAGCCTTCTATTGAAATATTATATATAAATTGTATCCAAAATATTATTTACTATAAATATTAATAGAAAGGGTATTATATTATTATATATCAAAATCCTATTATATATAGATGTTGTAGAAAAAAGTACAAAGATTTTATTTATCCAAACAATATATTTAATGCTCTTTGTTTGGAAAACATTTAGACCTAGTTATCATAATGAGTGTTCCTTTGATACTAGGCTCATAAAAAAAAGAAAAAGCAATTTGTATAATTGTTGCGTTTTTCAATACAAACAAGAAACTAATAGCTCTCCAATGCCTTATCAATTTAGGAGTACAAGCCAATGTTATTCAACAAAGTAAATATATAAAATAGGATTGAGTATCAAATAAGAAGGGTACCTCACTTGTATCTACGAATAATACCACTATCGTCTTATATAGAGATCACAAATTTACTATAGAAATGAAAAACGATAAAAGGGAAAAAAAAACTTATACCCATAACTTTACCTCTACTATATTAGATTTACCAAAGATAGATGTTATCCTAGGTCTACCTTAACTATAAATAGTAAACCTAGATATCAACTAAAAATCAATATCTCTTTAATATTGTTCTAGTCTTAATAACCTTAAGATAATTCCGATAAAGGAATTTTATTGAAAAATAAAATAAGATAATTAAATCTTTATAATATTTCTAAATAATAGTATATTTTATTAATTAAAGATATGGGATTATATAATATTTATATTAAAATCACTTATTATACCAAAAGAATTCAAAAAATATAAAATAGTATTTTTAAAGAACAAAAATAGTTTTTTACTTAATTATTATTTGATAAAGCATTGTATTAACCTCGAATTTGATTTAATCTCTCCTTAGAGTTCTATCTATTTTTTATTAGAGAAGAAATCCCTAATATTATAAGAGTATTTTGAAGAGTATTAGAAAAAAGGGTGGATTAAAAGATTGATTAATTTAACAAGCACTCTAATTATATTTATATCTAAAAAGGGGGGAGGCTATTAATTATGTATTGATTATTGTGGGTTAAATTAAATTATAAAGAAAGATAAAATTTTATTATTCTTTATTAATAAATTCTTAAATCAATTGCGGTAAGGTATTATTTTTATAAAACTAGATTTAAAAGATATATATTATTATATTTATATACGAGTAGGAGACAAATAGAAAACAGCATTTCGCACATAATATAATCAATACAAATATAAAGTAATACTATTCAATCTCACTAATGCTCTAATAATATTTTAGATATATATCAATTAAACACTAGCGGGCTTAATAAATAATATTTATATAATATACTTAAACAATATCCTAATTTATTTAAAGAATAAAGCTACATATATAATAAATATTTAAAGAGTTCTCAAATATTTTATTGAATATAAACTCTATGTTAAATTAAAGAAATACATTTTTTATATAAGCGAAGTTAAATTCTTGGGTTTTATTATTTTGACTACAGGAGTTACAATAAAATCAGAATATATTTAGATTATAATAAAATAATCTATACCTAATAATCTCCAGGATATATAGATATTCTTTAGCTTTGTGAACTTTTACTAATGTTTTATCAAAATCTATTTGGCTATAATTTATAGTATAATCATATTAATAAAAGAAACAAAAAAAAAAGAGAGTATAACTAAGTTCAAATGGATTAACAAAGCCCAAAAGGTTTTTGAAGTTTTAAAAAAGATTTTCATTTTAGTATTAATCCTTTAACACTTCAACCCCCTACTTTATATAATAATCAAAATCAATGCATCAATATTTGCATTAGGGTGTATATTGTTACAACTATTCCCTGTAGGCATAAAGGTATCACCTACACAATAGTAACACCCTATCACATTCTACTCAAAGAAACTAAATCCTATGGAATAATAGTATTTCATTTATAATTAAGAGTTACTTGTAATATACAATGCTTTCGTATAATAGCACTATTATACAATAGGTAGTCGATATACAATCGTAATTATGTTTGATTATAATAACCTTCAATATTTTATGACAAAGAAAAACCTAAACAGTAGGCAAATTAGATAGACAGAGGTTCTAATTGTATATAATTTCAAAATAGTATACAGATTAAGAAAGCTAAACTCTACCGATAAACCATCACACCACTCTAACTATATAATAGAAATAAAGGATATTAATAATATATTTTTAATCTTATAGAACAAATTAAAAAACAAATCAATAATCATAGAATTATTCTATAATATACCCATTAAAAAAGCGGAATCCCTATATAATATCATAAATCTTTTATAATAAAAAGAATGTAATTTACCATTTCATAAATAATTAGTTTTATTAATTGAAATTGATTGCAAATAGTTAATATCTCATTAAATAACTTGTATTTTAATAAAAAACAAAATAGTATATAAACTAATATCGGAGATAATAAAAAATGTTTTATTATACCTTCAATAAAATAATAAATTTATAAAGAATAAAGAATATTTGAATTAAAGACTACATTTCACTAGAATCATCTCATTATAACAGATAAGTGTCAAAGGGCTTTTTAAATATAATAGGAATATTTATATACCGCCAGACTCTACTTTAAGAATAGAAATCCTAGAAGTTTATTATAATAATTCTATAAATAAATATTGGGATATTACAAAAACCCTCAAAATCCTGAAATCAAAGTATTTCTAATCTTCAATAAAAAAAAATATTAAGAATTATATCAAGATTTATATAATATATTAGTAAACTACTATGAAAAGATATAAATTCTATAACAAATTATAGATTTTTCCTATATCTTATAAACCATAAAAAGAAATAATTATAAATTTCATTATAAATTTGCCCCCTTCAAAATTAAATAAATATATCTATAATATAGTTTTAATAATTATTAATAGATTTATAAAATTTACCCAATATATTCTTATAAATAAAATAATTATATTACCCAAACTCACACAGAAATTAATACAAAATATATTTAAGGATTTTGGAATACTAGAGAGTATTATTTCAAATAAAAAACCACAATTCACAAACAAATTTTGGAATAGTTTTTTATTTTATATATAGATTTGCCAAAAACTTTCAATAGTATTTCACCCACAGATCGATAAATAGACTGAAAGACAAAATCAAAATCTGATCTATTATATCATTTATTATACAAATTACCAGCAAAACGACTAAGTATTACTACTATCCTTTGCAAAATTTATATATAATGTTATATAGTATAATATAATAAAAATCAT